AACGGTCGATAGAGGATGCTTTGTTCTCTCCGATGTTTTTTGAGGCACATGAGGTACATGTTTGCTTTTCTCCCAATAAGTATTGTTCAAATAGAGTTGGAGCTTGATTACTGATCGTTATTTTCATATTTATCATACATAGGAGCTGATAAATTCTCAATTTTGGTTCATAGGTAGGTAATTCCCAGAAATTTAGAGCATACATTATGTATATGATGAGTTTTTTTTCCAGAAATAAGGGAAAATTGTCCTATCAGGTATGTATGTCTTGTCCCCATCTACCCCTATCAAAATGATATACACCTTGATTTTTTAATGGAGCCCTGTTTGATCCATCTAGGTTTTGTATAAAAATATTTCAGGAATTTTTTGTTTTTTTTTTAAATTTTTTGTGAGTTATTGTGCAAATCACACAGACTTGTCACGTTGGCATATATGCCGTGTGCGATTCTCTGTACAGATCCCGTTATGTAAAAAAGGTGCAATTTACCGCTTAAAATTTTCAGCGCACGATTTGTGGTTTATTTCTCTGCTTTTCAGCATATTGCATAATTAATAATTTCCATTTCCAAACTCTAGGCATATTTTATAACCAATTGCAACCTGTATATTTTATCCAACTCCTGATCCTTTATAATCGTCTTTGCAGACCAATACACTCGCGTGTTGTGCTTTTTCTTCCTTGCGACAAAAAATTCAAAAACAAACGTTTCTGGACTACGTAGACGACTTTAACCCCTTCCATGGCAAAGATTTTAAGCATTTCTAGACAAATTGATATAAAGAATTTAATGCATTTTTTCGGGTATTTCTTGTAATTTTTGTATATACCAATGTATGTATATTCTAAACGCAGGTATCGTGTAGTTTCTGAAAATGATTATAAAAATATCATTTCAGTTGCCATGGCAATTAAAATACACCATAATCATGCTGGAATTTCCTTTTATTCAAGAATGAGTTTTATTCTAGGGAAATTTTTTTTGTTAGTTTAATATATTTACAAATATTTTATTGTTGTGTTGAAAATTATGGGCATGTTGTACATTTTTCTTTAATACCAATTTTAAGCATTTTGGCAAGATGGGCTGGGGTTGGGAGGTAATCACCAGAATTTAGCATTTTTACATATTACGTGTTACCACCCCATTGACTTTGATAATGGCAAAATTGCTGAAATAGTGCCCAAAGTTTAAAGCCACTTGATCCGAAACATGCACAAATAATCTTACACAATAAAAGTACTTCATTACATATATAATATATCAAAATAAAATTATCAGATTGATTTAATACTTTATAACAATTATCCTAGCAAGGAAAACATGGATCAAAAACTTTATTGACAAACAGAAGTTCCTGACGGGAAGTTAATGTCCGTTGTGAAGTTAACTTTGAACAAAATAAATTTATCGGTTATATCTAATTATGAAGACAATTCAAACCCGAGTATTTTTTTTTTCCATTCATAAAAACCTTATAGAAAAAATGGTCGGGTTTGTTCTTCATGAGATATACATGTAAGCGATAAACCTAATTTTTCGAAGGAGATTTCAAGTGATATCAAAATAGGATTATTTTTTTGTGTGACCTAACAAAAATTATTTTTTTAACTTTTGAATCTTGATATCTTTTAAACGGAATAGAATTTGGGGTATAATTTGACAAAAGTTGAAATAATTTATGGATGATTATTTTTTAAGAAGAAAAGCGAATATATTTTTCTGCGATTAGAATCGGACCAAGCGGCTTTAAATCAAGCTAGAAAAAAACTGGTACAACCAATAAAAAAATCTGTATAATGATTTAATCATAATCATTTCCTTTTTCCAATGGTACAAGAATTATTCTGACATTTACAGTATTGACGAAGATATGAATGTTTAAAACAATATTTGATACAATTTTCTCTCTCATTCAATTAATTTGAAATTTTATTATCTACCGAGTTTCTTTAAAGATTACACACAGCTACTCTAGGGGAGATGTTTTTGTAAACAATTTTTGAAAATCATATTAAAACATATCTTATTCAAAATTACTGGAAAATTTAAACGTAATACTTTCAATCATTGATACTAAATAACCTCAATAGGCAAATCATAACACTTGGTAGGGTCATATTGAGCACTTGTATGACAGATTTTAAGGTCAGACGATACGTTCCCCAAATTTCTGTTTTGTAATGTCTTCATAATGTATGAAAAATATACAAAATTTTAATTACTTTCTGATTTCTAAACCGGTTTCTAATTGTTTTTAAAAAGTTCAAACACTAAAAATGTGATTTTGTCAAACTAAGTTTTTTCTCCTAAAGTATTATATAAGAAATGCCATCATCTTGCACCTCGCATAAATACCTGGTAATGTACCTCAATTTTTGGTGAGTAAACATGTTAAAGTATCAATTCTTCAATGACAAAAACTTGGAAAAAATTATACATTATTGAGAAACGTCTCGTCTGTCCTTAATTTAAAAACCCTTTACCAATACTGAAATAATCTTATAAATTTAATTATTTTATTACAAAAATATAAATCATTGGGAAATGTTTTAGCCATATAATAAAAGAGATTTTAAACTTATATTGGTAAATATTTTACGAAAGCCGGTAAGTGCTAGTTATAGAAAAATACTTTATTTGGCGACCGCTAAATAATTACTAGTTTCTGGTAGCCTCCACACGAAAAATCTGGCAACCGCAGGAAAATTATTTTGCGGCCACCAGATAGTTACCTAACGATCGCCAAATATTTATCTGGTTGCCACCAGAAAGAACTACAAACTCTTACTCTTGATTCCCGCCTACATTTTGCACTCATTAAATTCAATATTAATGGCAGTTTTGCCATTAAATCTTTGTTTAACACAAAGAACAGTTCTATGGTAATTGGTTAATCATTTTAATTCCAGCGCTAGATAGTAAATCATCATTAATTCCAGCTCTTGAAAAAAGGGGGTAGACGATATTTTCTAGATCTTTCAAGAATAACCATTTTTTGAAATAGTCTTAAATATGATAAAATGTATCTCATATCTTTTCGTATGTTTTACGCAAGTAAATAAAACATATATAAATTAATAAAATACAATTATTGAGTTGTAAATAGCTTTAAAATTGGTGAAAAATCAGCATTTTTTTTTTTCGTTTTTTGTCTATAAACATATGTTCCCTCCCGTGAAACACAAACAGCTTTGGCATAAATTTGTCAAATGACAGTTCATATTACCTGTAAAAAAGAATTGTTGTTTCACCCCTAAGAAAAAAAAAATACTATAGTTAACTATAGTTAGCTATAGTTTACTATAGTTAACTATAGTTAACTATAGTTAACTATAGTTATAACTTTGACACTTTGAAAATTTTGATTTACTATAGTGATAACTTTGACACTTTGAAAAACTTTGACAAAAACTTTGACACTTTGAAAAACTTTGGCGAAAACTTTGACACTTTGAAAAACTTTGATGAAAACTTTGACACTTTGAAAAACTTTGGCGAAAAGGAAAAGGTGAAAACTTTGACACTTTGAAAACACTTTGAAACGGGTTGCCAAAACTTTATTTTTGGAATACTTGTATTTATCACTTTGAAAAACTTTATGGAAAACTTTGACACTTTGAAAAAGTTTATTGAAAACTTTGATACTTCAGAAAACTTTATCGAAAACTTTGACACTTTGAAAAACTTTATCGAAAACTTGGATACTTTAACACTTTGAAAAAGTTTATCGAAAACTTTGACACTTTGAAAAAGTTTATTGAAAGCTTTGACACTTTAAAAACTTTATCAAAAACTTTGACCCTTTGAAAAACTTTATCAAAAACTTTGACCCTTTGAAAAACTTTATCGAAAACTTTGATACTTTGAAAAACTTTTTCAAAAACTTTGACACTTTGAAAAACTTTATCGAAAACTTTGATACTTTGGAAAACTTTGGAGAAAACTTTCAAATTGACACTTTGAAAACTTTGGTGAAAACTTTGACACTTTGAAAAACTTTGGCGAAAACTTTGACACTTTGAAAAACTTTGACAAAAACTTTAACACTTTGAAAAATTTTGGCGAAAACCTTGACACTTTGATTTACTATATTAACTATAGTAATCTAAAGTATATATAGTATTTTTTTGTTAGGGACGGGGGGGGGGGTGAAAGATGTTTATAAAATATTTTCCGTTTTCCGTTTTTTTTCTATAGTGAAAAACACAAGTTTTACCAAAATAAAAGAGTTATCTCTCTTTGGTATCCCAAATAAGTAATGTTTTATGAAAATTCATATAAATATCTATAAAAATTTTGAAAATCATTCGAATATGTCAACTTTTGAGAATTGACTTAGAGGTAGGCGGGAGAACAATACTATAGTTCGTAGTTCTTATATGGCGGCCACAAGATAAGTTTCTAGCGGTCTCATTTATTTATGTTGCGGCCGCAAGATAAATTTTTGTTTCTACTTTGCACCTACCCACTTCCGAAAATAATGCTTCTCGATGGCTTCGAAATTTTGTTTGAATGATAAAAATTTCGGCTGACGTTTCTCGGTCTCGGAAGTTATCCTGAAACATTTCTTAAATACAGTCATAACACTTTCCAAGAAGTACTCTTTATTTGGTAAATATAATTTTGCTTATAATTAGTGGTCTGACTTTTAAATGAAAATGAGATTTCTTCGTGCGAATAGATATACAGCGCTCAATTGTTCGTCAACTCATTGTTAAATACGATATGAAAAGTTAGAAATGAATATTTTTTTTTAAAAGGACACAGAAATTATCAATATAGTTGAAATCACCTAAAAGAGGAAGAGTTACGTCTGAAAGTCTAAAAATGATGCAATAAATAGTCTAATATTTGACAAACCTGAGAAATGATGCAATGATAGTCTAATATTTGACAAACTTGAGAAATGATGCAATAAATAGTGAATTTTTTAATTACCTGGAAAATAAGCATCTATCGCGCGCACATTCAATGAATTCTGGTGAAACCTGGTATAAAAGAAAACACTTATCGGTTTATTTTAAATATTCACGTCCATATAATTTGTAGCCAATAACATTTTAGTTGGATATCATTACGTAATAGGAATACTTTAAACCCCTCCCGATTTCTCGCTTAGTTTTGACCAACTCAGAGCAATCCTGGGTTTTCCGCGTCGGGCTTACTTAAAGATAAATATATTCTTGAAATTGTCGGATCCTAAAGAAATAGAGAAGATGTCACTGAAAGACGACCAAGTGAATGAAGAAGAGGAGGATATAGTCAACCCATGGGAAGTCTCCACTCACTCCGCTAAAGGCGTGGACTACGATAAACTCATTAGTAAGTCATGCATTTTAGTCCTTTTAGTTTTCTTTGTAATTTTCGGTGAACAAAGTCACAAAGACTATTTCATTTCTTTGGAATTGTAGGGAAGTTTGGAAGCACTAAAATAGACCATGCTTTGATAAAGAGAATAGAGAATTTAACCGGACGACCGGTCCATCATCTTCTCAGAAGAGGAATTTTCTTCTCTCAAAGGTAGGCTGGGGCATACATTGATCTTACAGCTGACACATGTAAAAAGCATTGATATTATAAGTTTTTCATTATCATGTTGACCCAAAAATAATGTCAAAAACTGTTATAAATCAATCCTTATGAAAGTTATCAAATAAATTTTATACACTAGTACTTCTATCTTTTTTATATTTATCTAATATAAATTTAAATTTTTATTCCAATATTAATTTTAAATACTAAAAATACATAAACTAAAAATAATATTGATAATACAAAACGAAGACAAAACAAAAATATTAAAATGCTTAAAAAATGTGGAGGATCTAAAAATAACTTAACAAGAAGTATCCTCAAAATAATGTAGTTAAAATAATCATCGAGTCGAGAAAAACTTAATGATGTACGCGTTTATCTTATTATTTAATCAGTATTTTATGTAATTTAACAAAATATTGCAGCAAAGATTTAAAACAGAATGAGTTATTAACTATAAGATTTTGTTCATAATAATCGTTTATAAAAGATTTTAAAGCAGTTTTTACTTTTCTTTAGGATAAATCCTCGAACAGTAAGATAACATGACCATTCTGTTATATGAATTTAACACACGTTTAGCCCCTAAAACTTATCATTTAAGTCATTACAAATGGTTAACTGAGATATCAAAGAAGGAAATAACAGCTATCACTTGATACTACTTATATATTTTCGGCACTTAGCAAAACTTGATAAAAATTAATACCAGGAAAAAATTAAATCATAATAGTCATGGACAAGAACTCACTTCAAAGTTATAGCATTTAAAATTGCATTCAAAACGACTTTTAAAAAAAGAAATTATACTTTGAAAAATAAAATAGATTATGGAAAACGTTTTAAGTGTTTGGTTTTTTTTGTGTGTGTCTGAGGAATATTGGAAAATAAGCTATTTCTTAAAACTAGTAAAATATACCCTTCAACATATAATTTGATTTCTGAGTTAAATTTTAAGAATGACATCCGATCCATGCACGTTCCAAACTTTTTATTCCGCAGGGATTTGGAGATGATCTTGAACGTATACGAGCAGAAAAAGCCTTTCTACTTGTACACTGGTCGAGGACCGTCGTCAGAGGCAATGCACATGGGACACCTCATTCCTTTCATTTTCACTAAGTATATGTTTCAATACACCCAATCTGTCACTATACATGTAATAAGGAATGGACTTGTAAAGAATATATTTAATGATATTTAGTTAATTCTCAATGTTACAATTCTGTACACCAAGGTGGCTGCAAGATACATTTGACGTACCGCTGGTCATTCAACTTACTGATGATGAAAAGTTTCTGTGGAAAGACCTGACATTGGAGCAGACCAACCACTTAGCGTTTGAAAACGCTAAGGATATTATAGCATGCGGTTTTGACGTGGAAAAGACCTTCATCTTTAGTGATCTTGATTTCTTAACGTATGCAAAATTTTCATGTCCTTGAAAAAATGTGTCAATATTGTGTTCTTACCTTCTATATTGTTATACATTTAGCGTAACATACTGATTTCCAATTTTGCATCTTGTTTTATCTTTAATCCTCTTTTTCTGGACTTTTGAATCAATCCCTCAAAATTTATATTTATATTTCACTTATAGGAATTTTCATAACTTATTAACACATTTAATTGCTCTCGATATTCTTCTCTTCGTGAAAAACACCAGACACCAATTAGGAAACACCAGGATTATGAAACACCTTAAGCTAAAGTCAGAATCCATAGGTTGTACTCAAACGATGAAAAAGTCAAACATACAATAATGAAAATATTTGTCAATATTGCTTCACAAAAGCGTTGTTATCTGGAAATTTAGAGTTAAATTCAATTATTGATACATATTTACGAGAATTTGAAAAATTATCTTTGGTCTAATTCTGTTTTATGATCCTGGTGCCAGGTCTTGTCATCTTGAAAATAAAAAAAGGGACCAGAAAACAGTTGGCATGTGTTTCCATCTTTCGGAAGTTGAATAATTGGTCTGAAGTTATAAAAAAAACCTCTCAAAACACAGACGCACAGACACAAAAATAAACCATGAAACAAAGTAAGGGAAAATTATCTCAATTTCAAGTGGTTAAAACTTAAATATCTCTTTTAAAAAAAAAACTAATGAAATGGATCTGAAAATGTTGAAAACTTGACCAATAAACGGAATTAAGGTGAAGACCCCAACAAAAATTTTAAAACTGGAAGGTTATTTAGATGGGAGAGTAAGCAGAGTTTCAAACCATATGTAGGCATTTTATTTGAAAAATGTTGATTTGTCAGTATCTGTCTCTCAGATACTAATAACTAGACTAATATATTGATATTAGGTAAAATTAAGAAAATGGCAAAATCTAGCATCAACATTCAGACTTTAACATTCAAAAAGGAACAAATTTATAACAAAAAAACTTTAATGTAAATTCATATTAATTTATTACTTTTTCTCAATAGGAACAGTCCTGCATTTTACAGAACAATTTGCAGAATCCAGAAACTAGTGACGTACAACCAAGTGAAGGGGATCTTTGGATTTACGGATATCTTGAAAGATATTGTCAGTCATCAACTTAAGCATCTTTTAATAACAACCTCAGAATACTTTTGATCGATCACGTTAGCTCAGTCGGTAGAGCGCTTGCCGTGATCGGGATGTGGGTCGCGACTGACCTAAATCGATAAAAATGGGTAGCGACTGTTCCTTCGCCTTTCATTTGGAACTGGAAGTGATAGTTGTGGGTCCTTTGGATGACACCCTGTAAATTGAGGTCCGGTGTCACGGCAGACATTCGCACGATGAAGATCAATTACTGCTCAATAGCCATGAGTGCCGAGTAAAGGTCATAATGTAAAGTCCTTCACCGGTACAGTGTATATGGTGACATCTACATCTATATGAGTGAAAAATTCTCGAATGGGACGTAAAACAATATAAAACAACATTCAATCAATATTAGAATATTTGAGTGTATATTCAAATTATTTTTCATTTTTTTTTAATTTTAATTATAAAGAATGGAATCAGCAGTTTTTAAAATAAAATACATGTACTAATTAATTACAATATCTTAAAAATCTGTACGAAATATACTAATTTTTAATTTCTACGTTAATTC